ACGTCAGGCCGAACACGCTCTTCTGACCGGTCTGGATGTGATTTCCAGCTTCTTGCGCCCACCTGGATAATCGGTGGTATGGGCACACTGACATTCCACAGTCCTCGGAGCTGGCCATACAGCAACCAATAAACACTCGTCGACCGCGACGGCACTGGTCGGTCTTCGATTTCCGTACATGGACTACCAGACACGGTTTATTGTCTGCGCACACTTCCCAGTTTATGTCTGACCATCTCAGCTCGCTCAGCTCTCGAAGACGAAAAAGCCCCGCAACGCCGAGTAGATAGGCTACCGGCACTCCAAGGTTTCCGCTATCAGGGACAAGACAAGAAAGCTGCAACAGCTCCTTTTTGGAGAGCGTTCGAGCTCTCTTCGGGGATGTGACTCCGAGAATCTCAGACGCGCTAGTCGAACTAGCTCCGAGTCTTGCTCGCTGAGCCGACCGTGCTCGAGGGTATTGGCACAGCGCAGCTTCTGGACGTAGTCCTTTATTGTCGTGTACTGCACCCTTCCTTCTTGGGTCAGAGCTGATATATATACAGCAAGGGATGGACCACATACCGGCCAAGGAGACATCCCCATACGGCTTAAGAGACTCTCATAACGAGATATCACTGATTTGTATTTCCTGTTCGTGGAAGCAGCGCGAGCGGCAGCCAGTACTGTGCCCACCGTGTCGTGGTTAATCGTCGGAATTTGCTTGTTTTCGGGACCAGAGCGCCGGACGGACCTGCCAACGGAGATGATAGACCGACGCTTGAAATAACTCTGATTCCAGACGGAACTCCTCAGTACAAGCCATGCACTACATGGGGTATCTTGCTCCTGACGACAGCGCCCTCGAACGCGAGGCTGAGCTTCTCACCCTGGGCCTCCCTGCGTCGTTGTTAGCTCTCGTTCCCGCGCCATGTAGGATGTTGCAGATCCGTATGGCAATATCTATATTCATGGTCACCGAATGAGAACTGTCTATAACGCCCCTCGATCATACACAACCCCAACCAACTCAACAGCAATCGATCATTATAAGAGAGGGCAGTTAACTCCAAGTACAATACGAGCTTTGCCGGCTTTGCTAGCCCTACCACCAAAGGCCATATTGTTCCGCAGCCTCTGTTTTGACCCTCAGACCTACATCAAGCAGATTGGGGCCTTCAACGGATCAGTGCGTAATATCTCCTGCAACACAGGTTGTATATCGACGCGCTCACCGATGACACGAGCAATTGCAGGGCGAGGAACGCCATCGCGCGAGAGGCTATCACTTATGACGTTCTCAGTTCCGGGTAGATGAAAGGCGCGAATTGAACGATGGTTCATGCCCATCGCCGAAAGTCTTGCCAAGAGATCCGCCATACGCTGTGAACCACTAGTACCCTTATTCAAGGCTTCAACTGTGGAGATGTTGTCGCTTAGGACGGTGAAGTCCGCCTCGGTTCTGTCGATACCGCAGCTGCGCACTGAAGCCAGCACAGCGACGATCGCAGCCAGTAACTCGAGTGTACTGATGTGTCCTGACTCCAGTTCGCCTGGGACTAAGGCCTTCAACTCGGTACTACCGAGTCGGTAGTAGCTGTTGACTCACAGAACCAATATCTCTGACTCCCAATGAGCATTGTACCAGCGAACCCTGCGAGACTGGCGTCGGTGATTACTATCATATGTTGAGTACCAGAGAGCCGTACGCCCAAGATATCCTGAATAGAGGTTGCTCGGAGTGCAGGAGAGCGCACCACCTCTAGGAGGAGATTGATCTTCTCCGCGGCTTTCCTCCCGAGATATGCCGAGTGCAGGGGTTTCCCATTTGCCCCTGCCACTGACTTCAGCTTGTGGCACCAAGAGTAAAGAGCTGCGAGATGACAGCGGAAACGGGTGAAAGTTTGACTAGCCCACGTTATCCTACCAAGGAAGGACTCCACGTCCTTGATGGCGACCTTATGCTTAGTGTTGTACTGCTCGAGGATATGATCGCCCTGCTGGCATATCATGACCACCTTCTCTGGTGGGATCTCGACCTCGAGATGGAGGCGACCCTGACACACCGTGGATAACCATTGAAAACCTAGCGTTCTCGGATTCGATGAGATTCGAATTTTGGATAGCTCCGTTCTTACACCAACCGCAGTTGATATCAGGAGTAGGCCGACAAGGTCGTCGCAGACTCGGTATGCAGCCGACTCGAATACTCCATCGTCTACATAGAGGGTACAGAGAATTTGCAAGATTGCTCTCATGAGTCTATAGACTGTACTGTAGGTTCGTATCCATAGGACTGGTGACGACACCAGCCCGAAGACTAATCTCAGATTCTTGAACAGCTGGCGGTTCCCGTCGTCGTCGACCGCACTGACATACAGATACTTTTCATCGCGAGAATCCACGGCCAGCTGGCGGAACGCTTCCGCAGCATCCAACTCTATGAATCTCGCACTCACTCCGAAGCGTTCCACAGCGTGTGCCGCCAACAGAGCCACCGCCCGAAGGCCAGGAAGGGAAGCCGTATCCTTGAGATGGCCGCTCTTCTTGATGGCATCATTGGCACCGCTTCGCCTAAGGTCAGATATCAATCTGAATGCTCTCGGAACTCTGCCGGGCTTCTCAAGTAAGGCGATCTTACTAACTATCGCATCAGCTGGTAAGTGATCAGGGTCTGTCTCCTTGACTAGGTATCCCTTCTCGATCTCTTTCCCGAGACAGTCTGCTACGATCCTTCGCCCTTCCTCCGTCTCGGCCGATTTATAATTCCTGAAGCTGTCCTTCTCGAACAGCGTGATAGGGTGACCTGGCACATCTTTAGCCTTGTAGGGTGGCCAACAGCCAGCCATTTCAATCGGTTCCCTCACACCAATATTCATACCTCGATCGACGTCCTCAATGATCTGCCAGTCTTCAGGAAAGTTCGGATTGAATACAGCCGCTAGCTTAGAAAGTAGGAGGGGCCGTAACGACGAGCCTGAGCGTGCAACGCGCCCATCCACGTGAAGCAGAGCACACCATTCGTCTCTCAACTGATCAGCGAGAATATAGAGATCGCGTTCAACACTGCTCCAATCAAAACCACCCTGTTCAGCGCGCGGCAGTGACGACCATCTATGGACGAACCTGCCAGAGTCCGTCGCTGCGAATTCTCGAATTTTCGCTTTCAACGCGTCGACCAACAACGACTGAAGTTGTGTACGAGGTCCGTATGGGATGGACCAAGGGCAAAACCCAGGACCAGCCGTACCGTCCGTTAAGCCCTTGGCCTGGTCAGACTCCCACTGAGACCTCCAATTCTCTGCCTTGTCTTCTAAATTCGTCAGCGATGACCGAACGTGCTCAGCTTCTCTCCAACTTTGGCGTTGGCGAGCACGCTTCTCCTCATTCCTCCGAACTCGCGCTGCTGCAGATCGCTTGCTTGATCTCCTGTCAGACATTGAGAGGGAAAAACTATAGCTGAGGAAGCGTGACGTCAATGCTGCCGTCTCAGTATAACACAACGCTGCTAGTACATGACAGGAAACTATGAGACTATGAGGCGCTTATGATCAGCTGATCAGGGAGTCCCTGCTTTGTGGTGACCCATAACGATGAGGGGGGCTTACTTCTTCTTCTCGTCGTCAGGCTTGAATTTAGAAGACTTGTCAGTCTTGGCAGCAGCACCAGCAGGCTTCTCGGAATACCAATCCGAACCCCACCAAGAACTGGACTTTCTCCATCTCTTGCGCGGTTGGGAACCCTTCGCCGACGCATCCTTTTTCTTATCTTTACCGTTACTGGTCTCGTACTCCAAGGTGGCTTTAGCAAAGTTAGCCGTGACGACATCATCCTCAAACATATCATAAATGGTGAGACTCTTGTCTGCTGCCATACGGGTGATGACAGATTCGCGATGTCGACGGTCGAGGCGCAAAGCTCGGCCCCAACCATGGTTCCCCATCTCGGTGACACGTAAAACATAATTGAGAAAGACGAGAAAGTTACCCTGTTCGGGTGCAACCAACCAGAGGGCCATCATGAGGCGCAGAAGACACACTGTAACTTCGCCACTCAAAAGAAACTTCGAACTGTCACTTGGCTTCTTCAGGATCTCAACTTTCGCCCCGGTGACCGACGTAGCTAGTTCGCTACGAGTGCTACTGTACTCAGCATCCGATACACGACATTCGGCTAATTCGACAAACTTATTAGCCTTACACTTGGCCACAACGTTACTCGGCGGGATCAGTGCTGGGGTGAACTTGACCTGTAACCTGTTAGAGATCTTAGCCACCAAACCACTAACGTCCGCTT